GTACTAAAACTAAAACTATGTCAAAGTCTCAAGACATTCCAGGACAGTTACCCTTTGGTGTGCTCTTTGCGTGGACATCTCGATGCCCATTATTAGGCTAATATTATAGATCCTTGATGATCTTTAAAAATAAGATCTCGTTGTGCAAGGATGCAGGTAGTACAATTTGTTGTCCTTTGGGGAATTCGTTTTTGTGAAGTACTAGTTTTTCTCTGTCAGCCCCAAAAAAAATGGCTTAGCTGCAAAGGGAATTTATTAAGAGATGCTTTAGGGCCAACCCTTCTTGATCAGGTTAGTAAGTACATGTAATTGGCACTGCTCATCTGCCAGCTGGAGGCGTTTTATTTCTTTCAACTTTTCTTATGACACAGCAGCTTTTTGTATCACCATGTCTATAAATTAAAAGCATTTATTTCTGTTTCCAAAATTTCTGTCTGTGGCATTGCTTGGGCGTCTGCAGTCCTGGACAGGGTGTCTGACAGTACCTAGCCTTTTCCTTTTTGGTATTTAATATCTAACGTCATATGCTTGGAGCCTGAGCATAAAGCGTTGTATCTTTGCCGGGCACACTTGTCGTACGCCATATTTTGTACGGCGGAACCTTTCCATGACAAAATCTGAAAAAAGTCAGTGTCTCTTTCTCAATCACAGTATAGCTTACTATTGCTCTGGTCATACTTCTGGACGCAAAGGCAACTGGTTTGTTGTCCTGGCGCAGAACTTCTCCCAGTCCATCTTTACATGCGTCTGCTGACACGACCACAGGCTTAATTCGGATCAAAGAATGCCCAGCTGTAGGCTTGTGGAGAGGATCTCTTTCAGGTCACTCACAGCTTTTATAAGATGACACAACCACAGCTATTCTAGAACTTTCTGTAGTTGATGACACCCTGTAAAGTTATACGGGGTGCCCACTACGGCTGGATCGGGCCGACTCAATCGCCTGAAACTGAAAACAAACACGTAGATCCCAGCCGTAGTGGGCACCCCGTATTAGTATACACTCACGACTGTAAACGGGAGAGACGAACACACACGACACCAAGCATTCTAATAATGAGCCCGGGTGCAGTGTCTGACTTTTTATGTTGATCTCCGAAGTGGGTAACATTAACCAAAAGCCCGTGGCATACGGTGCATTTACGTCCCGTGATTAAAACCGAACTCTGTTCGCAAAAGTTGCGCATTTGCGAAGAAGGCGCCACCGAATTTTGAGGACACTTTTTTAATTGGCTCAAACTCAAAGAGGAGAGTGGCCCCTCTAGTTATGTAGACTCTTTGTTAAAACAGAGTAAGGTACGAAACTGTGACTACCGTGAAACAGACGGAGTGACGCAGTTGTTTTTTTTTCTGACGGGTTGGGAATATCATCATCATCATCATCTAGTGCCAGATCTGCGACAGTCATCGGCGATCATGGTTCTCCATTCATTCCTTTGCTCGGATGCTCTAAAAAAAGCCTCGTTTCCCTGATCTTTACCTGTTACCTATTTGTTTAGGTTCCCCAAGTATGTTGTTCGGGGCCTTCCCCTGCCTCGCTTGTTCTCAATTTTGCCAGTGAGAGCTAGATGTTCGAGACCCTTATTTATGTGTCTCAAAAACTGCATTTGTCGTTTCCTGGTTGTTTTTTTTTACATTGAGCATCCCACGTGGGCTTCATCAAGCACTACCTCATTTGATTTCTTTTCCTTCCACGATACTCTTAGCAGTCTCCTAAGAAACCACATTTCTGTTGCTTCTATTCTATTTTCACTGTCTTTAGTGATTGCCCAGCATTCACAGCCACATAGAAAGTTTGACCAAATATAGCATTTCAGAACTTTCATTTTGGGAATACATGTATACTTGGGCGAATATGTTACTATGTCAAGAAATCGCAGCATTTCGTTTATTCTTTGGTGCAGGCATGTTTTTTTTAATGGTTGCTCACCTTTTACGGGTCTGCTTTTACTTCTGTTTCTGTGAGTATATTATTCAGATACTCCAGCTCGGTCCTGAACAACTCTCGTTTCTTTCGGTTGAACTTCAGTCTGTTGGTGGTTGGCGGGTGCTCTGGTGTGGGTTTCTCCTTATTCTTTCCAGTCAAACATCTATCATCCTGATCTCTCTTTCATTTTTGTGTTTGTTACTCTCTTGTATCACCTCTAATCTTCGGCACTTATATGACCTTATGGTGCTGCAAGTGCCGTAAAACACTTTCTTAAACTAAAAAACAACAACTTCAGCCCGCTTTGTCTTGCTCTTCACAAGACTTGGTGCGAGCGTTCTCAAAATATCTCTTCTGTTTGGGGAAGCATGAGAGGCGAACTTGGCCACTGGAATTTTGTTCTCTGAGTGTGATGTCAGTCTAACTTTTGATGGGACTTAATTGTGTATAGTTTGCCTGTTGCTCTGACCCTGACATGTCCTGAGCTGGAACAATATATGAGGCATCGTGGTGAAATCGGGCGCTTGTCAAAATAATGAAAGTGAAGTTTTGAAGAAACTTAAATTTTTCCGCAGGTTTGAGAATTTTTATCGATTTTTTAATATTTTTTTTTTTGGGGGGGGGGGGGGGGGGGCTCAACACCTTTCATGCCCATTAAAGACCACATTTCTCTGTGGGTTTTACTGAAAAACGTTGATTAAAGGCATAAAGGCTACATTTTCAGATAGGGAAATAATGCAACTTTGGCGGCCATTTTCTCCAAAGCAAGACAAATGAACGAACCGTAGAAGATTTTAATAACTCAACATGCCCAAAAACTGACGAGAACCTGATTCCACCGCGTCGTGACACATATATCGCGTCAGTATAGCCCCATAAAGCAAGCCCGTCCTTTCTTTTAATCATGGTACTATTGACTGCATGTTTTGAACACTTTTTGTGCAAAAAAAAAGTGTTTATTATAAAATTACTAGATCTACTAAGTAGCAAGTTTTGCTTGGTGGATTATAGTGACGTATGCAAAATGTGTGTGAGAAGCGGGATGTACTGACCCTATTCTGCATGACGGAGATTGGTAGTATAATAATATATTGATATATAGGTTATAAAATATGAATTTCTGAACAAAAGTTGTTCTGTTTTTGTTTTTAATCTAGCCCCAATTGTTGTGAACAAATATGATTAATTTAGTTTAAAAAGTTGATACAATGTTGTGAAAAGTAAAAGTAATAGGTTGCGGGGGGGGCGGGGGGGCTTCGATTCACCCGTTAGGCTAAAAGGATAATATAATGACGATAAGTTGCGCCACGAATTTTAGACAGCACACGGCCTAGATATCTAGTACAGTGCGAATAACGCGATGCCGCAGCAACGCAGCGTGCTGGCAGTTGGCAGGGTCGGGGCGACCAGTCGACTGCACGCACGACTGCACGTCGGCTTTTGCGTAGGCCGTAATCAATAGAGAGTGCTAGGCCTAGTAGATCTACTAGTGGTTTATCCACTTTTGTGGAAAGCCCCACGGTCGAGGTGGTAAATAAATACGACATGTACATGTAGATCTATACCACTTGTAATTAGCGCCTCGCCCACGGTCTTTCAAATTTTTCACCGCGATCATAATTTTGTAAAACTGTTTTGAGTGCTTCAGTTGATGCAATAGCTGTATATGACGTTATACTCAGTGTCTTGAAAAACAAAAACAGTTTATTATACATGTATGTTGTATTATGGTCCTAGATCTATTGGTTTTCACTTGTGAACATGCGAGCACTTTATAATTTGTCTTTAACTAGAATTATAATTAAACTGATTTTGTGAGATTACGGGCTGAATTGAATTGAAATTACAATTGCCTCTTTATGGAACATTTTCAAATCTCACAAAGATGTGCCTGGGTAAATCTATGTTTACAGCCTATAGTTAGCTTAATTACTATTTGACTTTCATTTTTAACATAAAGTCCCACTTACACAGTGTTTTATCATCTCTCTGAATGTTGCTAGAATGCTTGACAAAGTTAGAAATTTCAACTACTATATATTATGTGTCACGACGTGGTGGAATCAGACGCTCGTCAATTTTGGGGCTTATAAAGATATTGGTGTCGTCCTGAAGCCTATATAGCCATTTGCCTTGATTTTGATTTTTTAAAATACCCGGTATCCATTTATCTTTGATACAAGAAAGATATTGGCAATTGAAGGGGGTGGCGGTCGCCTGGTTTCAGAGATAAAATTATCGAGAAAATGACTGCCAAAGCTGAGTTATTTCCTCAGTTTGAGAGTTCGTGAAAACTGAAAAGTTACATCTTTTATGCCCTTAATCAACGTTTTTCAGTAAAATCCGCACAGAAATATGTTCTTTCATGGTCTTGAAAGGTGTTGAGCTAAAAAAAAAAAACCACACACACACACACACACACACACACACACACACACACACACACACACATTCGATAAAATTCACAATCTTGCGGGGGAAAATGCCATTTTTTAAACTTTGATTATTTTTTAGGAGCACCTGATTCCACCACGCTGCCTCACATATTATATCTACCGGTACCTTTAAATTTAGAACTCTTGTTATTAGTTTCCCGGATTTTAAACTGGCTATAATATTAAAAATCCAAAATTTTAATTAATATTCCTTCATTTTTTCGCGCTGGGGGGAGGGGGTGAGGGCTTATTAGAATAAATGAAACGTAGGGTAGATCTGTAGCAGAAATATTATTTTGACTTGTGTTGTTCACGTTGGAGCATCTTTTGATAACCCCGCAGAATTCTACGCTCATAACCTAACAGAATTCTACACTCATGAAGGAGTGTAGAATTCTGAGGTTAACCCCCACGTTGTTTACATGAAGTGAATTGCACAACAGTCACAAATCAACGCACCACAGCATCTGCGACGTAGGCCTAGTGCCTAGGCCTTGGCCTAATTTTAGATCCTTGCCAAAGCCCATCACTTTGCCTGAAAAAGCTCTACTCTTCAGTAGAGCGCTCCGCGAAGCAGATGATCTCTCCGCGAAGCAGAGAAACTCTCAGCGAAGCCGCGACCTTTGTTTTTGATCTCGGTGATGCTGGGTACTTCTCTCTCCAGGCATTGGTTGGGAAACAGGCTAGGCTTGGCCTATTAATATTTGGGCTTGCTGACTGGCTGACTGCTGTTCATTGTATGACTGTCAACTGACTGTTCCCTCGCTTCACGAATCACGATCGAGTTCTTGTCTTGATCTTGCCTAGATACTAGATAGATTCTATTAAATTACTATTAGGGCCTACCACAGGAAGCAAACCTGGAGGGAGTCAGTGGTTGTTTTGATCGAAGGATTTTGTGCTAAAAAATAGGCATCTTGACTAATTTTGGTGGCTTTTCATTTCAATTTCAAGACTTTGTTGATCTATCAGTTTAGATTTAAAGATTCTTTGATAGATCTCGACTTTCAGAATGAAGCAAGGTGTTCTTTTCAATCTTGTGGGAACCGTGCTTATCGTGGCCGCTACGGTTTTGCACATTGTTTGCCTGTCGACACCATATTATACTGAAGTAAATATGGATGAAATGGCAAAGAAAATGGAACAAAGGCGACCAGGGGGAAATGGATTATTTTCCCAAGGTGGTATGGATAGCACGTCGATGGACGAGTCTGACGAGGCTTCAAACATGGAGGACCACACATCAAGCATTGGACGTGGGCTTGGCGAAAACGGCGGGATGGGTTCTGATTTGATGTCCGACAACGGAGGCTTTGATGAAAGCCCCGTGGAGGGTTACCATGAAGCAAGTTCAGGCGTAGTCTCTTCATCAGGTAGTAACTTTACAGATCTAGATTCTAAATCGTCCTTTCTCCTGTTTTATACTACAGTAGCACAGCTCTTGGACTCTGCGGGTAAATGCGACGTTTAATCAAAATTAATCTAGAATCTAGATCTAGATCTAGATCTACACAAGAATGCTATTGCTGGCAATGACGCCTCCGTTTGTTTGGCATGTTCTCTATGACTACATCTAGGATAAAATCGGTACGGAGAGATGTCTGGGTATTCTTTTACGAAGTGATTATTCGGACTCGAGTCCGAAATGAAAAAATGTTAATACGGACTCTGATTCTTGTCCAGCATGACATCACTTCCAACTTCCTGTGACTCGTGACTCCGGCTTCCTGTCCTG